CATGTATTTGCCATGGAGCGAGCAAGTAACTATATGAGTACTGTACTTCAGTATTTTCCCTGGTGTAAGTAACCTGCTTTACTTGATCTACAAATATTGCCAATCATTATATGACTTGCGCGTTCTGATTGGTTGATTTGCGGTCTGATATTTTCTCATCTCGGACCGTTACCATGACAATTGGTCCGAACAGCGCGTATCACATTTGATATCTTTCCACGGACGTAACGGTCCACAGCCCGTATCACACAAAATCAAGTCGGACATGAAAATACTTCACAAATATCTCAAATTCATTGGTAAAGACACAGACGAGAGTCATATAATAAAACATTTATTAACCTTGCTTGCTCGGTCTGCACAGAGAAATATCAGACCTTAGCCTTTTTGCACAGACCTCCCCAGACCGCTGTCTGATATTTCTCCATACAGACCTCGCGCTCGGTTAATAAGCCATTACTATCTGTACTTTATACTCCATATATTGTAAAATGATTAGTTACTTCTGATTGAGACGGGGCATAGGAACCAATTTGAAGTGGTTAGAAAAGCTTCTAAATTAACTGATTTGTTTTTAGCCAAACATATTATAATAATAATAATAATATTCTTTATTTGTATAGCACTTTTAAAAACAATGTTTACAAAGCGCTGCACAGTCAGCATGATAAACAATAAAAACAGTCAAAATACAAGGTCAAAATAATTAGATACAGAAACACAAAGCAAACAGAGAAATATTGTTTGTTTTCTCTGCCCGTTTCCACAATTATTGATTAAATGGTCAAAATGTCTGAAATAAATATACTGTTTGTCAATTATTAAACTAAAATCTATTTTACTCATTTACATAGTTTGTACTTTCATACTTTAACTTCATTATGGAAATTCTTACACTTTATAACAGAGTTGATATTTCTATTAGTACATAATAGTAGCTAAACACTGCTTTTGTGACCTGTGTGTCGGTCTCTCCACAACAGTTTGCTTCTTCACTCTCTGTTCATTGGAGACGGCGGCGCTAGGACCCCGGGAGCGCCTCACTGTTTGTGGCCACACAGGAAAGACGCTACTACTACTTCGACTGGAGTTTGACCAAAGTTCTCCACTCACTACTTTTAATAAGCGCAGACTTTAGCAAAGCAATCTAACTTTCACGCTTCAGTGTTGTAGGACGAAACCCACGCTATCTACGTGCCTGTTTGGTATCGGTGTTGCAGTGTTGCGTGATCTTCCTGAAAACACCTGCGTGGTTCAGGTAACTCACCAATGAAGAGGGAAGTCCTTGAGTGAAAGAAAGGTAAGGCCCAGTGGGATAATAACTTTATTATTGTACTTGTTCTGTGTCCAGGGCTTTTCAGAACTTGACATGCTTTGATGACATTCTGTTTTGAATAAATAATGCTAAAATGGGCTTGATTCACCCACGGACGAGTGTCTGACTTTTTTTCCCCCCCATTTTTTTTCCCAACAGCAAAACTTAGCATTGCAAGAACAGATTTTTAAAACCCGATTTCACTGTATTAACTTTGACTGTGAAGTTTAGAAGATTGTTAGATACATGCAATATTCATACAATTGTAGTGTTTAGATTGTGTTTCTGACAGGTGTTTTTACAGTGTAAGTGGACACACCCATAGGTGCCACTGTCAGAAGCTACATCGCTGCTAATTCTCAGAGCTGTTGCTGCATCTGCAAAAAATACGGCCTTGTCCTTCACTAACTTCTTTGCCCTTTCTTTTGCTTTTAATATGATACTTTATAACTCCAGGCTTGAGTGAAGTATCATTCATTTTTAAATAGGTTTATATTATAATGCTACTTTGGTCCATAAAAATGAGGAAGGAAATACTTTGCTGAATTTGGATGAAGGATTGCTCTAAGAGGAGGATGAGAAAAAGGTGAGTTTTACTGAGCAGAATACATAGGGGTACGTTTTGGGTTATAACAACATTTGCTAAGTATACACACGCGTAATGTAGAGATTGCTTTACATTTCTTTTGTTCATTTGAATGTAAATTGTCACAATACTACTTTTTGGGCCATTTAATTTTTATGAACCGCTAGATTTAAATGATAAAATGCATCTAACTAGAACTGCAGCTATCAATTTATTTTTCAAATTAAGTATGCAAATGAGACTTTGATGCAATAGACTAGTATAACAAAATGCAAACTTTATAGAGTAATATAAAGTAAACTCGGAGAAAACACAAAAGTGAAAGATAAATATTTAGAATCAATATCGCAATGCTTTGCTCAACGGTATTGATTTTAATAATAATAACAATACATTGTATTTAAAAGCGCCTTTCAAAACACCCCAGGACACTGTACAAACATGGTTTAAAAGAGTGTATTTTTTTAACCGTGTTTGTACATGGTTAAAAAATACACCATGTACAAAGAGAAAGAGAACCTGAGAAAAGTCATTCAGAAGAAGGAACAGGCACAACAGGAGGGCTGACAAACTATCCAGGCCACTACCCCCCAGAGCCAAGCAACCCCTGGGCAGATAATTTCCTTGTCCCTTCTCCCTACCTTTACTTTTTTCCTTGACTTTTGATGTAGTGTTGCAGAACACAGACTGCCTTCCGTGCTCTAAAGTACAAATAATTTTGTGACTTTGATGAACAATTTCAGATGTCTGCCCATTCAAGCGTATGGCTTATGCTCTGGCGCATGCTTGAAGTTAACAATTAGCTGCTACCCCAAAAAACTAGCCGAACTGTTACGGCTGGTTCTGTGCTTACCACACGTCATGTGCTGTGCTGCGCTGCCTCCTCTCTGATTCTTTGCACATTGAGCTACCTCCCCCATGGTGCTTTAAAGCAGTTTAGTGAACAAATGTGTGAGTCTTTAGAACACTGTTTATGATTGGGAGACGAAAATACCCCCAAAATTCAAACTTGCACCTATCAGCTGAGCATGAGCCATGTCATCAGTCTATTTAAAACAAATCCTCCGTTTTTTTCAGAGAATTTTAAGGACAATAAATTACACATTCACCTTTACCAGTGCTAAAGGGTTGTCATTGATGCATGATGGTAGATGTATGTCGATTTCCTGATTGTGAAAGTTGTTATTATTGAAGACCCTGTTTGTGACTAATACATTCACATGATATTGTTTTATTTAATCTCCATTTAGTTGTTCTGGTTTCAGAAACTCAATACAGCAATAGAAGAGATATTTAGTTGATAAAAAGAAGTTATGTAATGATAATCCCTGCTTGATGTTGTGCTCATGAGACAAATCTATACTGAATAAATACTGGTTTAACGTCACATTTTGGTGAATTTTAAGAACTTTTTTTTTTGCTTTTTGATTTTAAATGTTCATGACATTGTTGGTGTGTTTGAATAAAGGTGTTGAAATAGTGCGAGTAGCCCGGAGAGTTTAGCCCACTCTCATCAATGTTTAGTGAGATCATTGTTCTGAGAAGAGCTTTTATCTGTGCCCACATCAAAAACTACATAAAAATCTCCACCTCGTCACCATGACAACAAGGGGTACTTTAGGGATCTGCAAAAATACTAGCTGGGTAACTTATCAGGGCAGGACTATATAATATTAATAATAATGAAAAAATGATCACGAAAACATAATCAATATGATGTTATTCAGCTTTACTGTACTGCATAACAACGGCTTTCAGGTTACCATGGTGACGTTATTGTTCTCTGTGGAATTTTCCATAGTCTGGCTTTAAGTGTATATTAGTGCTTTGTGTGCTGCTGCTCCACAGATCTGAACCATCACTTTCTCTGGTGCTGCTATCCGCTTGTTTCCATGGAGACACATGTGTATTTATGTATTACTGCTACAACAACATAATGCTCCTACCTCATTGCGTTTGAAATGATTTTTTTCAATGTTGTTTTTGTTCAGTTTCAAAATAAGTTATTTCTCAGGATTAAAGGACACTAGTTCCAATCACAAAATGGTTTCTTCTTCATCAAGAGAATTTCGTTGGTATCCTTTGGACTTTTAGAAATAAATACTTTTATTCTCTGATCTCTTTTTAAATGTTATGTTTTATGTCTTCCCATAACTTAAACTTATTTGCATAGGGTTATGTCTAATCAACGATCTATTTTACAGTAATGAACACCTCAAATCATTTGCTATTAAATAATTGACTGCTACTTTTTATCGTTTGGGCACAGTATTTATTTCATAATTTGTACATTTTGCTCTGAAGCAGAGCAGTTCTGTATTATTCATAACACAATAAAAAGTGCTGTAGGAGGGAGTGAATACATCTTTTAGGTAATTATTTATTTAATCTGGTCAATTGTTTCATCTTGTACAATATTTTATTTTATGCAACTTCCCTGGGGGGAATCTGACTCCCTCCACTGTTCATTTATGTTTTTATACAATCCAGAAAATATATATCAGGGTTTCCTCCAGGGGGGGAAGTCCTACGAGATCAGGACCCCGCAATACATTGAACAACTGAATTCCTGTCTAAATATTGAGATGGAATCCAAAAGTTTTGAGAATGCAAGGTCACTTATGGTATTTATCAAAATCTATCTGAGGGTCTTTTTTACTGGTTTAAAGGCTTCACTGCTGTCACTCCGCGATGGCATATTTTTAGTTTTCTTGTATGAATGTTAACCTTCTTTCACTTTCTATAGCTTTTAGGCTATATCCACACGAAGACAAAACGCTTATAATTTCAGAAACTTTTTCTGTAAACACGGAGTTAGCTCAGTAAATGTGTGCGTCCATATGAATGTAGTCAATACGCCTGAAAACGCTGTGAAACTATGCCAGACCTGTTGGTGGCTCTGTGACGCAATGACGGGATCAAGCCCAAACTTCCGTGGGCATGCGCGGAATTTTGTAAACAGACAACATGGCGAGTGGGCGAGCTGGTACTACATTAGTATGGACGGACGATGAGGTTGAACTGTTGCTTCGGGGCGCACTGGATTACAAAACCAACAAGCTACATTGTTGTTGTCATTATTTTCTGAGTGCGGCGCATGCGTGCTTTAACAAGAGGCGGGGCGATGACGCAAGCGTCTCGGATACATTGCGGAGAGGCAGTAACCACGGAGCGGCATATACGGAGTTTTGAAATCTTTCCACTCTGGAACCTAGTTTCAAAAATGTTCGTTTACACCCCCCCCAAAACGCCGGCCTCGTATGGACGATACACTGGATTGATAAAGTATTTTTGCGTTTATGCCTGAGCTTGACTTCGTGTGGACAGGGCCTTAGACTTACTGTAAATGTGAGCTAAAAGAATTGGAAACATGCATAACTTTTGAATTCTATCACGGCTTTCAGTCTGGAAATGTTTCTCAAAGTTGGTCGTATTAAGTTGTGTTCCCACCATCGTTGCATGGACCCGCATTAACTAAATATCAGTTTAGTCAATCTGTTGCACTGCCCTGCGTTGGGGAGGAAGTGGTGCGCGGGCTTTGATGCTAACGAGTATGCACTACTTCCTTGTCGGCGAAAACGTTAGCAGCCCTTGCTTAAAGTGACAGTAGAATATCAGGATGAAGACTTACGTTCGCGAGCACTATGTCGCCCATGGTCAGCCCTGGTTTAATCCTGATTGGTTGTCGGACGTGCGTGGAGCGAGGATGTTCAGTGAATTTCATCTCCTGCTTTCGCCGCATGCATCTAGCCGCCGTACCCACCCACTGTCTGCCGCACCGCAACCGGTGAGGGCGGATCCCGGCTCAAACACGTCCATGAGCATTCGTGTGCGCTGACATACTTGCAATACCACCCCGGGGTGGGGGTGGACCCGGAAAGAGAATAATCCAATGCTTTTGTGTGGCATCTTCTTTCTTCTCAAACTGCTTCACAAGATGGTCGGCTCTTGGCCCAAAGCTGCATTCCACATGTGTGCCAATGCTGAGGGGAGTATACTTTCTTGGACCACTCTAGTTTAGCCACTGTACACTTTTGAATGCACTCGTTAAATGAATGGGGCTGCGACCGGCTAATACGTGCGCAAATGCGTTTTTGTCACATTTTCCAGTGGGAGGGGCTGCCCACGGCCATTTTGAAAAAGTCCTATAGAAGCCAAAAGTGGAGATAGGCGTGACTACGTCTGTTAATAATATGGCTGCAACACCACGTGGGACAAAAGTGCACGCCGCGCTTACAAATCACAGCTATATCGACACCTGTGAATGTTATGCATTTATTTATGTATTTATTTGTCAATTATTTATTCTTGTAGAGATGTACAAACACGAAAATCAGTCCACCACTGAAATTACCATCACTATTCTGTAACGTAAAGTTTGGATATAATCTATCAGCACTTAGCGAGTGCTGATTGGACGGTTGGTGTTGAATGAAGTGATTGGGCCACATTTCTGTCTGTGAATGACTCATAAGTGCGAATGATGCGGCGGTTTTCATTTTTTAAACAAGTCTTTGCTCTCGTTACTCTGTCGCCGTTGGCCTCAGTGGCCTCGTTTGGTCTGCCATTTCCTATTGTTGTAATTGCTCAAATGGACTGGTTCATCTTTTTACACATTTTTACATCACTATAATACTGACTTAGAATAACACTGCACACAAGAGAAATGCTGCTCAATGTTTCTGTAACACACACACTGATGTAAGCTAAATTATAAAAAAAAAATTGCAGTTAATTTTCTCATTTCCAATATGAACTAGTTTAGATTTATGTTGATCATCTTTTCGTCATTGCACAGAATCTGTATATGTGATTTAGAGTGGATTTTTAGATTAAATAGATTGCTTATAAGTAAGCAATCTATATTTGCACTTTCTAACTGCCCAAAGAGGTGGGTATGGAAGGAATACAAATGTTATAATAAAACCTCCAGGAGGGACTTGGAAGAGGCCGTTCAGTTTCTCAAAATGTTGTTTTTTCAAGCTCACATGTTTATGATAACAACCGGTTCATTTTTTTATTACTGGAAAAATAAAGATAATCTCATCTTGTTTGAACCCATGACATCACTATTACTTCTAATAGGAAATATTAGTTAATATTAGTTAATATTAATCTGACAGATCAGATTTTCTGGAAGCCTTTATCTGGTCACTGGGCTTGTGAGCCTGCTTCGCTGTAAAGATGGGAGAACACGCTCCTACTTTATTGAAAAATATCATTCTTGCATATTGGGTCCAAAAAAGCAGAATCTGGCATCACATGGGGGGAAAGGTTGACTGAGAAGTAAATTAAAGTATTGTATAGTGCTCTTGCTTTTTGCATGTGAAAGCCTGATTCGGTTGGATCTCAGAAGCTAATCGGGACTGAGCCGAGGTTAATGCTGGGATGGGAGACCTCTGGGAGCACCATGTGCCACAGTGAATGATTGTGGAAGCTCGAGGGGCTGGTAAACAACGATTAGCTGCCTCGCTTCTGTCAGTGTGACCCAGGGCAGCTGTGGCTACTTTAGTAGTTTACACTACCTCGTACCGAGTGAGTGAACAGCATGTGAAGCTTCTTTGAGTGTTCGTGGGTGCTACATAAAGCCAATTTGTTATTTTGTGTGTTATTATTTTTATTATTGGGTTATAGGGTTGGGATTATCATTACACTCTTTGACCATTTATCATATGACTAAATTTAGTTTAGTTTGTTTGTATTTTTTTACTTTTTTTTAGCGCTGAAACCTTATACCATGTCATTCTTTGTGGATCAATATTGTCTGTCTCTGTCTTGTCTCCGCTGCAGGATGTGCTCCAGTCCGGGTCTCTGCAGGGGAAGCGGCCGCTCTCCCCCGTCCAGCTCCGGGGCCACGGGTTCAGGGGCCCACTATGCCCTGTGTGCCCTGGGTGTGGGCCTCATTGCTCTGGGCATCGTCATGATCGTATGGACCGTCATACCTTTAGACGGAGAAAACACAGGCAAAAGTCCAACCACCCCAGCTGCCAACTCCACAGAGCCCATGGGCGAGGAGGAGGAGGATGATGAAGAGGAGGAGAAGGACCGGACAAAGTCTTCGTCTGTGGCCATGGTTCTGGTGGGGGTGGGGGCCGCCATGCTGCTCCTGTCCATCTGCTTGGGAGTGAGGAGCAAGAGGAGAGCCAGGGACCAAAGCAACCAGCCAGTACAGACAGGTGTCCCCTTCTTGGAGCACGTGGCCGGAGGGCAAGGAGAGCCGTGAGTCACAGCCTTCTGCTCAAAACCTTTTTAGACCAAACGTACCGTACTGTTTCCATGCACGTGTGTGAGATCAATGTATTGATGTGATACGGGACATCATTGAATGCATGCAAACAAAAATGAAACAAAACTAAATCAAATTCCCGATTAATGCAGAATTATCCCTGTATCCCACAACACTCGTCAAAGTCATTGTCCGAACAATGGCGTCCTGATTGCAAGAGAAAATAGCCTTGTGTGAATTAGAATTAAAAAAACATTTTTTGTAAGATTGAAAAACAATTGTAGTCAAGTCAATTGTATACAGATTATTTTAATCCTATTAAATTCAGTCGCATGTCTTTGGTAAAACCATCGTGTTCTGTCGAGGTGGTTTGCCTGTCAGTCGTTTCTCCTGTGGCTAAATTGGCCGCCGCTTGTCCGTCGGTTAATAATAGAAATAATAGATTAAATGTATCGTGCTGTATCTAAGCTGATTATCATTAATCAGTGGGTTCAAACAAAATATTCTATTTGTGTGCGTTTCTTTTTTTGGATAAAAGTCACAAACGTGACTTTACCACATTTACTAACATTTTCAAAAGACTAAGTTAACAAATGAATTTAGTGTGTATAATCTTTGGCGTGGATACGTTACAATCCATTCATTAGATGTTCCGTATCCGTGTTATAAATCCAATAGACCAGGGTTACTATTGCAACAACACATCATCAGTACGGTAAAACTAAGTAGTAGGAGGGTAAGCTGGCGGCTGTTGAATTAGCCATCGGCATTGCAAAAGTAAGATGACGTATGCGCAAGACCCAATCGACAGACCGCTCATCTCGACAGAGTACCGGCTTTTTGTGTACATAAAGTTTTCCATTGAGGGAAGTTTGACCAAATGACAAGACAGCAAATCGTCAAACAGTTTAATAGTTCGGTCACTAATTATTATAATCACACGTGTGTAATGTTTGCGTCAGATCCCCTTTTGTGATGGTTGCAAAAAGCAAAGTCTCAACAGATATGGTATAATTGGATCTAAAAAAACCTGACTGTTTCCTCTGTTCGCAGAGTTCCAGACCCGGCTTCATACAACGTCCCGAGTTACGAGGAGGCGGTGGGCAGCGGTAACTACCCGGTGCGCCAGAGCAACCTCCGCAACAGCATGACCCACCTGCCGTCGTACGAGGACATCATCGCCGCCGTGGAAAACGAGGGAAACGACCCCGCAGTACCCGCCACCAACAACAACCCTCCTTCCGAGGACACCCCCCTGAACAGCCCGGCCCCGGACGCCTCAGAGGCCCCCGGGGACCCCAGCACGCCCGAGAGAAACCCCTCTCTCCCGGCACGCAGCAGCAGCAGAGTCAGCCGCTTACTCCAGCCTCTGCGCGTGCGACGGATAAAATCGGACAAGCTGCACCTAAAAGACTTCCGCCTTCAAATCCGCAGCCCCACGACCAACCCAGTCACCATCGAACCCATTACCCCTCCCCCCGGGTACGAGAACAAGATGCCTGAACTCAACCAGAGCTGAGTCACCGCTCCACCAAAATAGACGGACGATTTTAAGAGACCCACTTCAAGGTTGGTATTGTGTTGGGTAAATGCATTCGGGAGGATGCAGCTGCTCCCGAAAAAGGACAAACATTTCAACTTTTATCTATTTATTTTGTGGATGACTTGTGCATCTGTGAAGGAGTGGGCACGTGCAGCACATGGAGCACAGGGCGAAACGTCACCAGATTCAGTTTCAGAGACCGAAGTATGCAGGATACACTCACTGAGGAGTCGCCAAGGGTTCTTGATGTGATAAAGAACAGAAATGATGTGGCCGTTCTACAAACTGCCAACTCTGTGTGTTGCATTGACTTTTCCACATCACCGAAATCATGACCAAAGGTTGATAACAATTAGATAAACAAGGACTTTAAATGTATGTTGTATTTGACTGACTATTGATCTGCAATTACAATATCAATAATATTTGAAATAATAAAGAGGAAAATCTAACATTATCATATCAGTAATTGACTAAATGTGTGTGTGCTTTTGGGTGTCTGCAACTGCAGGAAATGTTGGATTGTGTTAAAGACTAAACGTGTTGTCACGTAATAGTTTTAATGTTTTTTTTATTGGTCTGTATGAAATGTTTTTTTTTCAGTCTCTGCATTTTAATGGGTGTTTTAGTATTTTCAGTTTATTACACTAAACCATTACAAACATGTAAAGAATGTATAACTAAGTACATGGGGAGAAAATGAAATCTTATGATTTTACATGTTTATTATAATATGGTGGTTATAAATTGTGATTAATAAATCTTTTGTCTTATGTCCTTGTGTTTGTGTGAATAACAATGTATGCAAAAGAAAAGGGAAAAAGTAGGCCTACACTTAAACATTTTGTCCAATAGCATCAAGAAGGCTCTTGAATCAAACTCTTGTGGTTTAAGTTTTGTCTGTGGATGTGTGGCTCCCTCTAGCGGTTAATAAACTTTTAGCTCAGGCAAGCAAACTTGCCTGTTTTTATTTCCCAAATAACTTTTGACGTGAATAACACGCCAGTGTCACCAATGTCTCATTCAATAGTGATACACATGAACCTTTTCTATTTGCATCGATTGTGTTTCGAGTGCTCGCTTCCCTGAATTAGTACTCTGAAGTTGCACTTATCTTGCCGTGACTCTAGACCCCTCCCAGCTCAGCCTCAGTTTGGTTGCGGTTTAACTTTAACCGTAGTCTGGACTTGAGCTCAATAACTTCTTCTGGGAAGCCTGAATAAACGCAGAGTCTATTTTGTGAGTTTAGTAGCTAAGGCTAGTCTGTATTTTCTTTAGCTCCACCCTTCGCTCGCTTCGGATGGATTTAGCTTTTTTAATGTGCAGCTGCCATGGAGCAGAGGGAGGAGCAGCGCACGCAGGGAAGAGCCAGCCCGGGGAGTCAGTCACATTCCTGGCTGGGATTCAATGACTGAACCAGACACAAACAAACAGGGAGAGAGAGGCTCACACACGGAGTGGGAGACAGACCGAGCCAGACGGCGCAGATAAGCCGTATTTCCACCGCACTTTAGAGTGCGTAAAACCACACACAACTCGGTGAGTGTGCTTCGGATATCGCGACTTGAGAACAGCAGTTGTCGACTTTGTTTTTTTCTTTTTCTTTCGCGAACGAGAACCACCCTGACTCTGGGAGCCTTCCGTTTTCTGAATGGACGCGCTGGGAAGCTTCTCCAGTGACATGGAAATGTGCGTTATTGAGCGAGTGGCCGGATGCTGTTGACGACCGATCCAATTAGTCAATTTCTGCCTTCGTTTTGACTTTTCAACTCTAGTTCTTCGAGCTAGCGAAACAAACATGGAGGCCGCCAGCTTCCAGCCTCATCCCGGACTTCAACAAACTCTGCAGCAGTTCCACCTGAGCTCCATGCGCTCCTTGGGCGGACCGGCCGCGTTCTCCGCGCGTTGGAACCAGGACGCTCTTTATAAGAAAGACGGCAAAGCGGCCGAGCTGGTCCTGGCTCTGCCTCCGCAGACTCCTCCGGTTATGTCTGGGCCACTTTTTATCCCGTCTGACCGCTCCACGGAGCGCTGCGAGACGGTGCTGGAACGAGAGCCCATCTCGTGCTTCGTGGTCGGCGGAGAGAAGCGCCTGTGCCTCCCGCAGATCCTCAACAGTGTCCTGAGAGACTTCTCTCTGCAGCAGATCAACTCTGTGTGCGACGACCTGCACATCTACTGCTCCCGCTGCACCGCGGACCAGCTGGAGATCCTCAAAGTGGTGGGGATCCTGCCCTTCTCCGCGCCGTCCTGCGGGCTGATCACGCAGACGGACGCGGAGCGTCTTTGCAACGCGCTCATCTACGGAGGCTCTTACCCGCCTCACTGCAACAAGGAGCTGGGTTCTCTGGAGCTGGAGCGCACCGAGAAGAGCTTCAAAGTGTACCACGAGTGTTTCGGCCGCTGCAAAGGACTGTTCGTCCCGGAGCTGTACAGCGGGCCGAGCGCAGCGTGTATCCAGTGCTTGGACTGCAGACTCATGTTTCCGCCGCACAAGTTTGTGGTGCACAGCCACAAGCGGCAGGAGAACCGGACAGTGCACTGGGGCTTCGACTCGGCCAACTGGAGAGCCTACGTGCTCCTGGACCTGGACTACACCGGCAAAGAGGAGAAGAGTCACCTGGAACAACTGCTCAAAGAGTTAAAGGGAAGATACGATCTGAGTGGCAAACTGTCCAATAAATCGTGCAGAGTAAGTGAGCTCTCCTAACCCTGTTATTACCTATCACTCATTGTCTGTGAGCATTGTTTGTTTGCTGTTGTGGATATTTCACCAGCCCCGGGCCTCTGCTACAGGAGCCACATTCATTATCTTTCATTTCAGTGCACTTCCCTCTCATTAGCCGCGCCACAGTCTGAGGGATGGAGTTTGCAGCCAGTCTTCCCAGTGTTTGTATTTACATTGTAGGCGCTCCCAGTGTCATAATGCTAATCATATGTCCTGGCTCTGCTCCTGTCACACACTCTCTCCATATCTCTGTCTATCCTCCCTGAGTTCCCATCATCCCCTGCCCCCCGGGGTTACCCAAGGGCATCGGTCCCATGATAAATGAATCCTGATGATATGTTTTATTGGTGTGTGTGTGTGCATGTGTGTGTGCATGGAGGGGGCAGGAACCCAAGGTGGGACTCTGGATAAGCTTTAATGAGGTTTGGGATATGGAAATGGATGGGATATGTAGTGGGGGTAGAAACAAGGAACATGATGGGTGATGAAAGTAGGCTATCATTTTGAAAAAGTTTTATTGAGTCAAAATATCCCTAGACTATAGCCCTATGTCAGTCACTATACCTACTAATATTACAACTCAGCTATAAATGGACAAAGTATAGAGATGTTACTGGTTTCAACTGCAGACTGTGCTCTCTAAATTGGACTTTAACAAATTGTGGGTGCTTCTGACGCCGTGGTTTAGTCATAACTTCTTGTCCTATTGTGCAGCTCTGGTTTGGTGTATGCAAATGAAATGTGGGTCGCATGGCCGTGGGATGATGGCTGTGGGGGTGTGAGCAGTCCCGGTCCACGCACCGGGGTCAGTGAGGTCTGGAGCTGGACAAAGGCACAGAGGCGATGGTGGCTGTTCCTCCGTCACTCAGCAGCTGGTGTGTGGGTCTCTGCTGATGACTGGACAAGTCGTCTGTGTGCAGCAGTCTGCGCCGGTGACGCTGAAGAAGAGCTCCGAGGCACTCCAGTTATGGGTTCATAGGAAGTAGTTTTGCCAAAAGAAAAATAAATGGATAGGCAGATGAAGCATATACTCGGTTATGGAAAGATTTAGAGGAAGAGATCCTGTATTCGTCCCACAGATGGGAAATTCCAGTGTTGCATTACCAGTTACAGAAGAGTAGGAATAAGCACAGGGTAAATGAACACACCACAGGATAAGATAAATGTACACAGCTCTACGTTAACTAACTCTATTCTAAACTATGAAATAACACAACATAGAATATCTAGCTTTAGCATTATAAGAAAGCAGTCTATAATCTATAATCGGAGGCAAGAATGAAGTAAAAACAATTGTTATGATCATGATTATTTGGTTGAAAATGCTTTGAAATCAAAATGTATTCCCTCTTCTTCAAAATCCCTTCTCAAAATAGATCTATCTCTTGTGCTACCCACTCCACAGTGACTTAAAAAATACTAAAAAATAAGTTGAACTTGGATGATTTTTCTTAACTTAACCATTCCTGCGTCATTTGGAACCTTGTAGACCATTTTTTAGGGTATTTTTCTTCCACTTTTAATAATTTGTGTTGGGTCATTTTGACACAAGCGTTGAATTAACTGTATATATATTTTTTTTCAAATCAGGAAAAAATTATGTTTCTAGGTTTAAAATGGCAGAACAAACACTCATTATGAGCAAAAATGCGTGCGTAACAATTGCAATCACAAATGGATAATGTATAATGAAAATAGTGAATATGGAAAAAAGCCACATGGAAACATAACACAAACAGTTTCTGGATATATCCGACCATTACCGTCATAATCACATTGTGGAGATGTAGTGCACAACACACAACGTTACTGAGAATCACAGAAATAGTTTTTTACGATTGTTGTTGCTGTCTAAAGCTGTGTCAAGTGCTGTATTGATTATTATCCTCAGAATCCAAACGATCTAAAACGTTTAAAAGTTTGGCATCGTGACAACTCCAATAATCTGTTAAGTACTGATGCTGTAGAAGGAACATTAGACATTTCATATATATCTATTTTATTAAAAGGAAATATGATGTGTCTAAATATTATGAAAAAAATGAAAGTATGTATTAAAACAATGGAGGATGGAGATGAGAGTGGATGTCGCAAGTGGAAAGGGAAGAGTCAAAGAAGGAATTTGAGATTAGATGAGATGGACGATAAGGAAGGAGGAGAGCTGAAGCTGAAGGTGCGACGTGTGAGAGACGTGTGTACAGCAGCGGGAGAGAAATGATTGCATTAAAGTTGGGCTGTAAAAAGTTAGCTGACAACTAATCCATTATTGAATCAGACGAGCAAGGATTTGGGGAATCTTTCTGAATGAGAAGTTAATATTTGTCTGCACTTGAGTATGAGCCCTACAGCTGATGGACCAAATCGACAACTGTTTAAACCGGTCGCCACAGGATTGAATGGCTAGCCAGTTTAATCACAAACAAACAAGTCCTGTGTGTCCTTTTACACAAAAAGGATACATGCAAAGGCCGCATCACTGTACAGGGTTTAAAGAAACGGACAAAAGTAGTGTTGATTATCAAATACATCAATAATTACAACTGTTGTGAATTTCTACATTGTGCGATCAATGGAGTTCATCTTAATTGATCCTTCTTGTACAAAAGAAAAATCTTACAAAAGAATGGCCCGGATAGATCAAGGTCAGTTGCAGAAGGAAAATGCGAAAGGGGTGGGAATGATAAAAGAAGGAAAAACTGGACAAGAATTCATGGAATTTGTGTAAGGAAACAAAGAAAAAAACAAGATGTAAAATGTATTGGCGTGAAAGCAGAGAAAAGGTCTGGAACTTCAGTTATGGACGAATGAGATGCCACAGATCCGTGTTGAAACGCCTTGAATTCTGATTTATACACTCGCTCATGGATGGACTTGTGATTTATCTCACATTTCCTTGAGCAAAACACACCTGTGGCCAATTTCTGCAGCCAGGAGGTCTCCGTGTATCACCACAGTTATATATCTCTGCATACTTCCCAGCGTCTGACAGTCTTGGGAGCGTTTGGAATCTTCACCGGGGCAGCCTGCGTGGGGAGAGGCCTCGGTGTCCCAGTTAGCAGCACTCAAGGGGGGCAGACGCACCAGAGCACTCATCCCATACATCAGGCTGACATCCCAGGCTGCTGAAACAGGACAGTGCTGAGGCTGGACCCCCGAAAATGAAAACTCAATGTTATCAGCTTGACTCAGCCCGGCGATGATGTCACCGTTTGTTGTTAATAAGAGACAGGGCTCTCATCTGTCTAGACTCCTATCTCGCAATGGCAGTGGACAGAAGTGACAAAAATGTGCTTAGACCGGCATGGGAGAGGAAGGCTCGTGATTGATATAGTTTATACATGGCAAGCTTTGAATTATTAATCAATGGAATTCACTTGGAGGTATCCCTGGAATTTTCTGTGCGATTTACGACACTGCTATATGTGTGTCTTCATGAACTGGTAAAGTTGTGGTTAGAAGTAAATCTGGGTATTTGGTAAATGTCAGCTTTTGGTGCATGGTCCTATTGTTTATTTTGCAATTCCTGCACAAAATGCAATATATTTGAAAAGAGGACAAAATGTAAGGTATAAAATGGTGTGTCAGCATTTTCGGGGGAGAATCGGAAGACAAAACTAGAATCATTGAGTTCTATAATTCTTGATTTATACCAATATACCTAAATACCATTAAAACACATTGATTGCTTTGTCACTTCAGGTGGGTAAAATGGTGTATAGTTGTAACAATATAAACATTTCAAACACATTTTTGATGCTAATGAATGGACTCAACACCAAATTTTATACCACAATCTTGGGATATTTTACAGAAACGATCAGTATTTTTTTGATGCTACAACTTATTCTCATATATACTGAAAAAAACGGCAAAACATATAAAGCCGTGGAGACCAAAAGTTGCCAGTATCCAAGCGAATCAATAGTGCCATGAATAAAAAAAAGGTTCAGATATTCAGGAACTCACTTCATTAGAACAAACAACAGCCTTTATTAGTTCTGTTCAAAATGATTCTAGCTTCTGTATTAGTTTTAGTATCGGTAAATTTCCGATTTCTGATGGGCAACCCCAACAGAGACAGGATGCTGATGGGGGGTTGGGTCCATGATGAAGTCTTTAGGGATAATGCTGCTTTTCACCATCTTTGCTCTTGTTTTTGTTGTTGATTGTATTGAAATGGTCAAAAGCTTTAGTCTGGACACGGTGACGCAGCTCTGTGAAGTATTGTGTCTGCTCCTCATCCCTTATAGAGGCTCTTGGTCATCGGGGCTTTATCCCAAATGTGCAGCCGGGGCAGATTGCGAGAAAGCAGGCTGCAGACTCCTTTTCAGAAAATGCGTGGTCTGTGAGCCAGGCCTTGACACGTATTGTCAACGGGCCGAGACCTCTGACCCTCACCCAAAGACACTGACCCCAGCCCCCCCTCCCTCACCCTTTTTTCACAGTGGCCAGTTGCACGCCCCGCTGTCCCCGCTGACCACTCACCAGATGGCTGTCTGATAAAGGATGTACAGTGGACAGATAACAGCCACTGGCCACATGTGAGGTTGGATAAAAATGGGGGGAAAAGCCTTCTGTGGTGGTGTTTTTAAATGCAAAAACACACATTTGTGGTAATATTTGTTTTTTTTCCCCAGCTCCCAGTTACAGTTTAGTTACTTTGTTATTCAAAGTAATTGGCTTCTACTGAACAGCTACTACTGGCTTTAGAGGACTCGTCACAAATACTGTTTCATTATGTGGAAAGTTGAAAAAGTAATTTCCAAGACTATTTATTTGTTCTTAGGTATTTATTTGTTCTGTCTGGTATTTTTTTATTGAGGCTCATGCTGTTTAATGATCCTGGTCAATGATTTGTTTGTAGTCTTTTAGATGATCTTGTTTTGGAGTTATAATTTCGTTGGCAAATGGGAGTTTCAATTATTATTTAAGACTTATGTTATAGTGACACGTATTTACCAGCA